GTCTATTCCTGGGGAGACGGGTCTTTTGAAGCCCAGAGGAAAAAGAACAAAGAATCTTCGGGCACCTGCAAGAACTTTCATTTCCATTAGAGCCATTGGAATTATCTACGCTCCGTGGAAGCAACAACATCTGATCTTGAACAATGTGCCACATTACAAGCCATTGGCATTTATACAGAACTATACACGCCTTTTGTGGCTAACGGACTGATAGGTTTCCTTTGGTACAAGCGTTCATGGAGAACAGCCCAATTCTTCAGAGATGCAGGGGGGGAGTCACACCATTTATCTAATGAAGTGGGCTGCAGTTCACAAAAAAAACGAACACCACCTTAAAATTCATAGAATATTAGGATCCTGGAGTTGGAAGGGGCATCGAGCAGGCAGTTGGATTTGATGGCCTTATAGGCCCCTTCCAACTTCACTATTCTATGATTCCTAGAAGGCCTTCGTCAGCCTTTAAAGCAGGATGAGACTCTTTGGCTGAAATCCTATTGATGCACCATGGCTCATCATGGCTAAATGACATAAGCCCAGAGTCCCATCTAGCTCCGCTTCTTCTTCCCCTATATTATTATTGTGTGATATCAAATCAACGCTGACTTAAGACAACCCTTTCCAGGATTTTCTAGGCAGAGAGTATTCAGAAGCCGCTTCCCATTCCCTTCTTCTCAGATCACTCCAGGATGGTGCAGCTTGCCCAAGGCCACCCAGGCTGACGCTACTCCCAGGAGACCCAATGGAGAATCAAACTGCCAACCTTTGGCTCTGCAACTCACTGAGCTATGCTTCCCCCTCAAACACACACCCCCCCGGAACCTCCAGCAGTTTCTGGCTGTCTAACGCTGTCAAACCTTCCATTAGTTGGTCCATCGCCTTCCTCCTTGGCTGCCCCATCTAATGCAACCTGAGAAGGATACCCCTGTTCACTTGTTGGGTAGAAACAGGAGAAGGGAAGCCAGCCATGCAGGGGGGAAAAACAACCTTGATTCAGTGAGGAAGGATCTGAAGCATGAAAGTGACCTGGGGAAATCACAGAAGAGGGATTGAGCTCTCCCTATAGGGAGGAGAGAAGGAGGGGGGCGGGGGGGGACTCTCCCAAGCCTGGCAGGGTGAATGGAGGACTCAGTAAATGAATCGGAACAGAAGAGCCCTTCATCTCACATGGAGAGGCTCCAACCTGGTCTTGGGAGCGAAGGGTGCATTTACATTGGGGGAGGGAAGAAGGCAGAGCAGAATCTTCTCAGAGATCTGCAGGAGCTCAACAAGGATTCTTTTTTATTATTAACAGCACCACCAATAATAAGACACCCCCCCAAAAAAAACCCCATCTAAACTGGGCAATTTTGATGGAAGGGCCGAGGAGTAAGCCAGGAGCAGCTTTGTAGGTGAGAGGCAGGGCTTGTGGGTGCATTTCTGGTGCCGGAAACATATTTTCCTCGGTTGATCAAGGAGTAAGAGGCACCACTGTTCCTTAATTCTGTGCTCACCCCACCCCACCCTGGATGACTGGGCTCCAGCTGGTGACGCTGGGGCTTGTAGTTCAAAAAGAAGAGGAAGAAGAAGCCAAAGCAAGCTGGAAATAGCCATTATAAGTTTGCATCAGGAAGCCTGCCCTGCCCCGGTTGTG